TGTTTCTCTCTCATCGATGTTTCTAACTCTCTTATCCCTCTCCCTTCCTTTCTGTAAAAAATCAATTTAAAAAATATATTTTAAAAAATCAATAAAATGTTTTTTTAAAGAATACTTACACTATAATTCTTTTTACATATAAATGCTATGGTAAAAAAAATATTTTTTATGACATGTATTTGTTTGGTAAAACTATAAAAAAAAAAAAAAAAAAGCAGAGATTGATCTAGAGACAAATGGTAGTGGAGGCAAGGGGGTTAGAGAGCAACCAAAGGACTTATATGCTTATATGCATGCCTATTAGCATAACCAATGGACAAACACACTGGGTAGTGGGGGCTTGTCCAGGCTGGGAAGGAATGGGGGAGAGGGTCAATTGGGGGAAAAGGAGACATATGTAAAACTTTAGACAATAAAAAAAATTAATAATAATTTTTGTAAAAGAAAGGCAGAGAATAGTTTACACAAAATTCAGGAAACTAGTTACTTCTGAGGGAGAAAGAAAGAGGGAGACTCCATCAGGCAGGGAATTGCAAGAGGCTTTAAAAGTACTAGGAATCTTCCTTTTGTTAAGCTGGTAAGAAAAACAGGCCTTCAATTTATCATTCGTTAAGTTAAAGGTGTATGTTATATGCACTTTTATACAGATGGCTTGTTTCACGATTGAAAAAAGACTAAACAGGGCTGAAGAATCAGAATTTGGGGAATGTAACCCAGACTCTTCCACTTGCTGACTATGACCTTAAGCAAGTCATTCACTAGTAACCTTTCAGAGGAGTTTTTTTCTCCTTATTTTAAACATGAAGAAGCTAACAGCACTTTGCTGTTTCAAGTTCCTAGACTACAGTACAAACATGCAAATATGCAGGTGAACTATGAATGAAATGATAATTCCAAGTAATGTCTCCTTATTTAATAGAACATAATACTAAGACCTCAATGTGAGGACATGCAAGGCTATTCACATTCTAGTCTTCCTATTTAATAATTGGCAACTACTAATATTTTTTAATGTGTCCTATAAAACACATTGTGTTAAATGCTTTCCATAGATTATTCTGCTTAATCCTCAAAAAAAAACAAAAAACTTTATGAGATTAGGTCTCTTATGCCTGTTTTACAGATGAGACCACTGCGCCCAAGGTCATATCATAATACAACTAATAAATAGTGGATAGGCCTCAGAATCCACACTCTTCACGACCACGTTAGTTTTGCCTCACTTCTCGCACTGTATTTAAATCGTCTGTCTCTCCCACTAGACTGAAAGCTGGTTTTTGTTCATTTTCATTTCCCCTATTACTTAGCAGGCAATAAGTAAATAAATATTGAACAAATATTTCATATACGCACAGTGTTTTTAGGACATAAAGTTATTTCAGGACATGAACTGATTTGTTCCTCTTGACAGCTTTGTGAAGTATAAAAGTTTTTAAAAAAAACAAAACATTTTAACCATATTTAAGTGTAACATTCAGTAAGTAAGTATATTCACACTGTTGTATAACCATTAGCACTAAATATGAAAGGTTTTTAGTGACTACTGAAATCACTCAGCTATCAAATTGTAGAATGGGGATTTGAACCCAATATTCTTGACCCCTAAATTTACAAACTACTCATTCTACCAAGGTACCTGTCTATTAATACCTCCTTCTGCTCTCCCCTTCACACCAGAATACTGGAAGAACCAAATGAGGTGAAGTGCCCTGGCCGGTGTTGCTCAGTAGTAAAAGCATTGGCCTGTGCACCCAAGGGGTCTTGTGTAGGAGGCAACCAGTCCATGTGTCTCTGTCTCTCTGTCTCTCTCTCCCCTCCCTACTTCCCATCCACTCTCTCTGAAAAGCAATGGGGGGGAAATGTCCTCAGGTAAAGTTTAACAAAATGAGGTAAAGATACTAAAACACGTGACATGCATTTCTGTAGTACAGGTGGATCACAGTTGGAGGAAAGGGATGGTAATCCACCAAGAGATCTCTCCCAGGTGGTTACTTTTCATTTAGAGCTTTCAAAAGCTAGCTATGGCTTTAAAAATATAAGTATCCCATTCTACATCAAGCTCACAGATCCACAAAAGCAATGTCAGTATCCCAAAGTGAACTTATGAGGAGAAAAGATTGCATTAATTCAATTATACTGTCATCAAATGAACAGGTAATTGCTCAAACCTGATTTTTATTTTAATAAAGCTTCCTCATTTAAAAAAAAAACAAACAAAAAAACCCCACTTTTATTCTAAGGATTAAATCTAGCCTTCCATCATTCTACTCATTTTGGAACTACAGAAAGAAAAAAAAAAAAAGAGCATTCTAAATATTGGGTATTTTAATATGCTCAACTGTGAAAGCCAAGGAAAATGATTTGCTTATGAGCTGAACTCTGAGGCATAACTAAAAAAGAATAATTTTGATTCATTGGTGCCAATTTTAGTCTTTTTACATTCCTCCCCATTTTTTTCTCAGTTTGAGCTCTAAAACCAACAGCCACTTCTTTAACATATCAGAGTTGATGCAATTAAGCCCAAAAAACTGTTTACCTAAAGACGTTCTTCCATGCACACCCCTCTCTACTTCCCAGCATCACCATGCTGCCATGAGAATAATTATTAAGCTTTAAATAAAATTGGAGATATTGTTTCTGCAGTCATTGTAATGTGTCTACATCAATGCCATCCCCTAAAAAATAAAATGAAATTCCACATGATTTATCCATATCTGATAGAATTCTTACCACCTGAGTTCCTTCAGAAGAAAATTCAATCAATAGAAATATAGTCCAATTATTATAAATCTTATCAAGTAATGTCAGAAGAGAATCAAATGAAAAACTCCATTAATACCAAACCATCTTACCAATGAATATTTATGACATTTCCATATTTTCTGTCCTCTCTGTTTACATAAAGCAGTGGTGCCAAGATTCATCTCAGGATTATTAGCCTGCAATACAATGATGGGCCTAATTGCCTTGCAAACCAGGACACCAATAAATGGAGTCTTCAAGCAATCAATTTTAAGAAGAGAAAAAGGCCTAAGCTCTTTCTGCATACATGCGTGCTCACCCCTGACTGGGAAATAAATTCAGCCTCATATTTTTCAATCTCATTCACCAGTTCTCAAGCAAAGAATGCTACCTCAAGTCCATCAAATCTATTTAATTCCAAATTCCAGGACTAATTTTTAAATGCACCATGGGGGAGGGCGGAGAAGAGAAGGCAGAGACATCTTATAGAAAGATACCTGCCACATTCCATCTTTATCTTCTCCACCTTTCATTTGGGATTGGATTTTTTTTTTCCTCCTAACCTTATTATATGAACACCGATATACCTCATTTGATCGCACTCGGCTTTGTTGCCACGCACAGGTGTTGCAGTTTTTACAAATTGAAGGCAAGACCTTCCACCAGCAATAAGACCACAACTCGCTTGATTGCAATACCCGTTTATTACAGAGGACTGGGTCCACGCGGCACTATCTCCAAGGTGTATGCCTGTGATGGAAGACACTCTCACCTTCTGAATTCTACCTCAACCGAGGCCCCTCTCAACTTCACCCTTTGAGCTGATTTACTTCCAAATACGATACTAACAGAAATAAAAATAAATAAAGATTAAACTAACAGCTTAAGACGTTCTCTAGGAAAGAGAACCTTTCATGTTTGCCTTCTTTCTCCCCTCCAAAGTCCCCTCTGATTACTGCCTCTCTCCAAACCACAGCCTCCAATGATGTCCATTTAAGTCCACCCCTTAACCCTCTTGTGTCGCTTGGAGGACATCCGAATCCTTCCTTTTCATCCAATCCGCCTCTTCCCAGCCCGGCTCCCTGGCCCTCTCCATCCCTCTGCCCCACCATCCACACCAGCTCCCGTCTCCTCTCCTGAAGTAACCCCCCTGCCACCGCACCATCCAACCACCTCTGCGGTCCTACCCGTCCATCTCCCTCTCCCTCTGCCACCTTGACCAAGGGGCATCTCCTTCAGGGTACCATCCCCCAACCCTGCTCACCACCTGCCACGATTCTTCCATGAGTCCGGCTCAGCGGCGTCCGCGGTGCCCTCTGCCTCGATCCTGCACCCAAGGACCCACCGCCAGTGCCCCTTCCGGTGGTTCTGAGATTACCCTTCACCCCATCCCCCGGTGCCCCCTCCCTTCGCAATTTCAATCCTGGTCCGCCCATGGGGGGCTAATTTCTCATCCACCCCCCTCCAGCCGGCTCACCATCCACACTCCCCTCATTGAAAGTCCTACCCCCCACACACACACACACCAGCTCCTATTCCAACCTCCATACACATTCCCCAGGAAGACCCCAAATCCTACCTCCTCGGCTCTCCTCACCCACGCTATTCCATTAAGTCTCCACAAATTCCATCACCCCTAGATGGCAAACGCCTACTTCAAAAGCCCTGGTCTCAGCCCCATGCCAAGCCCCTCACCCCCAGCAGCTCCTACCACCCCAAATCCCCCCCGCCTGCAGGAACACCCCACAAGGGTCCTCTCCAACCCTGCAACCCCACTCTCCTGAAATCACAGCCACCCCCACCCCCCAAACCCCGCGCTCCAGCTCGGGTCCCAAACTGTCAATCGCCCGGATCCCAAATCCACCCCCCACCCTCCTTCGGTCCCCTCCCCCACGAAAAGCCGTCCCGCTCCGGTCTCATCCTCCAGCTCGCCCCCCACACCATCCCGAATCCCACCGCAGCCCCGCGCTCCGCTTTCGGGTCCAGTTATTCCCCCACGGAAAGTCCTCTTCCTCTGTCGCCTACCCCCCCGGCCCCCCCCCCAAAAAAAAAAAACCTGCGTGGGTCCCACCCTCACCCCACCCCCCGCCCCCGCCCCCGCCCCGGCCCGCGCCCGGACAAGTCCCCCCGCCGGCCCGCCGTTCCATCAGCCCCTGCCCCCGCCCGCGCTCCGCAGCCCCCGCTCCCGTCCCCCCGCACCGCCGGCCCGGGCTCCGGGCGAGCGGACCGGGGATGGGGGGGGGGGGGGGTCTCCTCACCGGCGAGCCGCTGCAGGCGAAAACGGCGGCGGCGGCGGCGATGCCCTTGTCTCCTCCGGAGGCTACGGAGGCGACGCTCGTCTCGCTCCCGCGCCTGTGTCCAGTAAGGTGGCGGATGGCGCGCAGGGACCGGGAGCCTCCTCCTCCTCCTCCTCCTCAGCGACTCGGCTCCGAATCCTCTGCAGTAGCTGCCGAGGAGCCTGACGGGTGGGGGAGGGGACGCTCCGCTGCGGGCGAGGGAGGAGGCGGCGGGGGGCGGGGAGCGGGGACCTATGAGAAGGGCGGGGGGAGGAGGGGCCGGCGCCGCGCCGCGACACGTCCCGCGGCCGCCGCGAGAGCGGGGACTACAACTCCCGGCGTGCCCCGCGCCGGCCCGCGCCGCCGCCCCGCGCGCCCGGGGCTGAGGGGCCGCGCCCTCCGGGGCCCTGGACAATGGGATGGAGCCGCCTTCGGCGGCGGCGGCTTTTGTGGACTCCGAAGACCGCATGGGAGCGTCGTCAGGGCGCCCCGCGGCCCCGTCCCCAGGTGGCGGTGTTCTCAGTCTCTGCAACTTCTTTGGGCGCGCACACGCGCGCGCGCACACACACACACGCGCGCGCGCGCACACGCCGCCGCCGCCTTGCCCGCTGGACTACATTTTCCAGCATGCGCCACCGTCTCCAGCCTTCCTTCTCCGGTCCCTGCGAAATGCTGGCCGACGCAGTGCACAGCCCTGCCTCCATGTTAAGAACGGGAAGGGAAGCAGAGGGAAAAGGAAAGGAATGCGCCGGCCGGGTTAGAGACGGCGCTCTCCTCGCGTCCCCGCGGCCACTGGCTCAGGAAACTGATGCAGGCGCTCCCGCCCGGCATCCCAGTAAAGCGGGGGCGAACCTTGAGTCCAAGTGTAAAAAGGACATCATTCTGGACCCGGCGCTATGACTTTTTTCAATGTACCTTAAAAAGGCCGCCGGACAATTTTTTTTTTTTTTGGGGGGGGGGGGAAGGGAATGCAGGATGTTGTTATAAAAGATGGTCGGTAATAGGGGGAAAACGCACACGTGCATCTGCAGGGGCTGACGGAACGGTATAGACAGACAATGCCGTGCTAAGCAGCCATTTACAAGGATGATAGAGATCTGCATTGGCATAGGAAGCTGTTCGCATTTTATTGCGGGGGGGGGGGGGATTGATTACGCAATGGCATGTTTTGAATGGCCCACCTTATAGGAAATTTGAGACAATATTCTATAACCATCATAGAAAGATTTCAAGAAAGAGGTTCCCCAAAACATCAGTGGATTATATCTTGAAAGAAAGGGTGTCAGATTTTCAGTAATTTTAATTTTCATATTGCCTGAATGTGTAAAAGGAATACACTTTTTTAAGCTATAAGACTGTTCTCAAAAAATACAATTTCCGTACACAACAACATCTTTGCTGCCGAAAAGCTTTTTGTGGTTTCCTATTTCTCCAGGACTAGGCCTGCCTGGTTTTTCTGGGAGCTCAACACCACTATTAAAACCAGTAATGTCCACTTAAAATCATAAAAGAACATACATTAGTAGGAGGATTTTCTCAATTTTCATTGTCTCTTCTCAAAGTTTTTCTTCTTCAGGTCTTTCTGAACCCTTATTTTCTACTAAATCTTAAAGCTCAGGACAAAATCCTGCCTTCCCTAGAACATATTTTAGGCACACTGATTTTCCTTACATCTGAATCCTTAAGCAGTGGTTTCTAACCTGTGGACCAGAGACCACCGCGGGGAGAGGGAGTGAGGCTGGAGGGACAGTTACTGAAAAGGCTCTACAAAGCTCTCCTTAAGCAAAGCATTCTCTATGACTGAATAAATGTATTACTCTTAAAACAATTTTTTTTCTTTGTGTCCGTTTTTTCTTTGTGAATATTAAACGGGGTGTCAGATAATCTCTGATTTAGCATACACCTTGTATTCAGTTACAGTATTTTAGATTTCATGTCATCATTCTGCAGTGTTGTACAAGAAGCACCAGGACATTTGTGCTCCATGAGCCAGCCCACGGGAGGACGGCAGGCCTGCCAGAGGAAGCCTAGGTCAGCGTTTAGCAGGCCTGCTGCAGCCAATCCATCAGCTTCACCCCGACTAACTCTACTCACACTCCTATCCCTTAGGAATTATCTTCCCAAAATACATCAGGCACAGTCTTTTTTCAAACTTCATATCTCATTTTTCATCCTATGCTCCCAGCCTTAAAATTCCACCCCTGCCTAAAAAAAAAAAAAAAAAAACACACAAAAAAAATATCCTGATCTACTGTTGTCTTAGAATTCTAAGAAAAGTGCTAGGACGTGTTGACTATATCCTTTCCCCTCTCTGAATTGCTTTGGCCACCCTCGCTTCTAAACCCTTTTCACTCCTTTTCCCTACTTCTCCGAAGGGTAGGGCGTGGGGGCTGGGTGGTGAAAATGAGAAGGATCCTGCTCTGTCCTGAGAGGAAAGGGTCCTCTGAGTTAGGGAATCTGTCTGCGGAAGCTCCCTGGACTAGGAGTCTGGGAATCCGATCCTGAATTAGACTTTGCCGTGAGCATGCTGGGCGACCTTTAGCAAATCCTTTTCTGAACCTCAGTGTTTAGATCTGTAAATGGAAAGAATAATTCCTACCCTGTCACCTCATAAGATTATTAGGAGAATCCAATAAGACAATATGTATGAAAGCATATTGAATATTGTAAAGTGCCATTTATAGTCCAAACCCTTCATCTAATTTGAGAATTATCTCTCCAAATCCCTGCCAAGTGTTGGCATATATACGCTTTACTCAGAATTATTATTAATGAATTGATTAAAGTATTTGAAGAAATTAACTCTATTAAGCCAATTTAATTCCTTGATAAATTTTCTGTATAGCACATGTTAGGGTCGCTGAAGGAGGAATGCATGAGGCCAGAGTGGTGAGGGATTATGAATTTATTAGGTCATCTGGATACCAGATGGGCTGAGCCCCAAAATGGCACCAGCACCCACAGACAGGAGTCAGAGGTTTTTAGAAGACTCTAGGCGGGCTTTTTCTAGGCGGAGAATTCTCTGTGTAGGTCCGGATCCTGGGAGGTCCGCAGAGGAGAGAGAATGGTCTTAGCAAGTGCAATGAGGTCTAAGCAAAAGGGGATGTTCGTTGTGAAGTGGCCTAAAGGTCAATTCAATTATTTGATCAAACTTAACAGCGCAGTTAAACAATTTCTAACTTTTCTAGACTTTTAATTATTTTTCATATTTTTATTTCTGAGAGGAAGGGAGGAGAGAGAGAGAGAAGGAGGGAGGAGAGAGAGAGAGAAGAAGGAGGGAGGGAGGAAGGGAGGGAGGGAGGGAGGGAGGGAGGGAGGGAGGGAGGGAGAGAAACATTTATAATAATAAAAGCAGCCGAAACTGGTTTGGCTCAGTGGATAGAGCGTCGATCTGCAGACTGAAGGGTCCCAGGTTTGATTCCGGTCAAGGGCATGTAGCTTGGTTGCGGGCACATCCCCATTAGGGGGTGTGCAGGAGGCAGCTGGTCGGATGTTTCTCTCATCGATGTTTTTAGCTCTCTATCCCTCTCCCTTCCTCTCTGTGAAAAATCAATAAAATGTATTTTTTTAATAAAAAAATAATAAAAGCATAATATGCTAATTAAACCAGATGTCCTTTGGACAAAGCCTGGGCGGGGTGGGTGGCAGTGGAGGCAGAGGTGGCTGCAGCTGGGTGGGGGGGCCAAGCCCTTGCAGGAATTTTGTGCATTGGGCCTCTGCTCAGTGATAAGAAAGAATCATTAATCAGCTGCCTCCTGCACATCCCACACTGGGGATCAAGCCTACAGCCGAGTATATGCCCGGCCGGGAATCAAACCATGACCTCCTGGTTCACAGGTTGATGCTCAACCACTAAGCCATGCCAGCCGGGCTGGATTTTTCTATATTGAATTTTCATCAAAATATATGCTTTTCTCTGTCACTTTTACAGGAAAGATTTGATTAATCAAATAGCTACCTTTATCAATTTTTACTGGTTATCACTTCAGCCATTATGAAATTTCTGGTCATTATTTCCACCATCTCCACCTTTTCCTGGGAGCAATTTGAGCCATTGTCAGTTTTATTTTGTGTTGATTATTTCTACCAAGTGGAATTTTCCCAGGGGTCAACTTTGCAACGTTCAGTGCCATCAGCAAAGACGGGATCATTCAGTTTGCTTCTCCATCCATAATACGTTTTTGCCACATGTAGTTTTAGCCATTGTCAGTTTTATTTTGTGTTGATTCTTTCTACCACATCCAATTTTTTTTTTTTTTCTGCAACCGAACTGTAACAAACTCCGGGGCAAAATGACGGTGTCAAAACACTAACCTCTGCCTGTTATTATCTGATTAACGATGACTGTGAGATAGTTTTATCGCGGCTATGTTAATGAGCTGGCTCTGAACTCTCTCTCTCTTTAGGAGCCTTGGCACAAGTGTGGGCTGGAGTATTACTGCTTTAAGAATTGCAAGGAAATGGACAACAGAGACCACGTTAGGAGAACCGATGTTGAATGAGCCACGTGCTGTGCTGGTGTCGCAGATCCATTATCTCGTTTAACCCTTCAGCCTAAATGTCCTTCACAGGACCTTTTCATAGTAGAGGACATTAAGCCCCAGAGAGAAGAAGGGATTGGCCAAGTTAGGATCAGAAACCAGACCCTAGCCAAGACCGGTTTGGCTCAGTGGATAGAGCGTTGGCCTTCTGACTGAAGGGTCCCGGGTTCGATTCCGGTCAAGGGCTTGTACCTTGGTTGCGGGCACGTCCCCAGTCGGGGGGGTGCAGGAGGCAGCTGACGGATGCTTCTCTCTCATCGGTGTTTCTAGCTCTCTATCCCTCTCTCTTCCTCTCTGTGAAAAATCAATAAAATATATTTTTTTAAAAAGAAAGAAAGAAAGAAACCAGACCCCAGTTTAATTCTCAGTTAGTAGTACACTTTGAATAATTCTAAGTTCCCAAGTTACCTAATTTAATTTTTAAACTTTTGCTATACTCTTGTTAGGAAAATTAATTCTAATATTTAAGTTTAGCTCACACATGAAATAAGAAAAATGTTTGCAAGCAAACAAAGCATTCTCCAAGAGGTTTTTGTAACAGCACATGATACAAGGAGGTGTGGACATGTTTTGGAAATGACCCAACTCTGGTTGAATGGACATTCCTGCCATTTGTGATGAGGGCTGTTAAATAAACCTGCTACGCTAGCTTGACAAGAGAGCTAGAAAACCAGTACCACACCACTAGCATTT